GGAGAGAGAGAGAGAGAGGGGGAGGGGGAGAGGGAGGGAGGGAGAGGGGGGGGGGGGGGGGGGGGGGGGGGGCAGGCTAAAAATGGAAACACACACCACCCGCATATATTTACTTATTCAGCAGCGATGTGATATGAAAACCCCACTGTGGCCATGCAGAGAGGCTGCAACAGCCTGCAGAGATGTGGCTTCATTAACCATGTGTCTGAATAATGAACTAAAGTGATCTGTGTTTAGCCACTGAATGGGATTCGGTGCAAATTAACTCAGCATTAATATGTGTGCTCACACACACACACACCCGGGCGGCAGTGTATGTTCGCAGGTGCCGTTTGAGTGTCCGCCCTTGCTTGGGAGCTACTAGTCAAATGACCAGGCCAGAGTGACCAGCCTATATTAAAAATGTAATATATATATATATATTTCCTCATATATACTAAACATACTTTTTACATATAAAATATATGTTGGTGTATTGTGATGAAATGCATGTAGCTGTATGGCATGAAATCATATATGGTCACCCATACATATATATTTATATATTTATATATTTATATTATTTAAAAGGTGCCCAATATTATCTAGTAAAAATGAACCATCCTGTCGACTGTGAAACTTCAAATGTGCTTTGTTTCATTCAAGAATGACAAACTACAAAAAATAATTATACAGCACGTGGAACCGTGCAACGTCGCACAATGTGTGTTACGTGCCGCAAAGGCCACCAGCTATTAATGCGTGAATTTGTAGTTAATGTCCCTGCGTGAAAAGGAGGTCCATTGTCAGGGTAAAGCGGCTAATGTCAAGTAAATGTCACGGCAAAATGTCACTTCAGACACGATTGACTTGCTGAGGCCTCCTCCCTGACGGACCAGAGGTACAAATTCTGGGAACAGAATCGACGGTAAATTTCACCGTGTATTCGAGTGAAAGACGCTCATCACCTGTTGGTGCTTCTCGAACTCCAGTTTGATGGGCGACTTGATGCAGTTGCAGGTGTCCTGGTACGTCTGTTTCAGAGCCAGGTCCATCAGGTGCTTGTGGTACGCGCCGGCCAGGTTACCGCAGGTGAAGATGATCACGTTGGCTAAGATCTGCCAGGAGTCACACAAGAGAACAGACACACACACACGTAAACGAGATACATATTTGGTTACCTGGTTGATTCATTTTAAACATCGCCTGTTTACGTCTATAAACACGGACAGTATTGCAAACTAACAGTAACAAGTATGTTTTCTTTTTCTTTTTTCCCCAAGCTCCTCTTAAAAGCTCTTACATAACACAGTCTCCTTGGTTCTCTACCCAAGGACAGAGACAACTTGGGGCATGTTTTGTACATAGTTGTGTTTTTCCACTGTGCATGTGTTACGGCGAGGAGGACATAGATAGAGAGAGAGAAAGATAGAGAGAGAGAGAAAAAAAAATTTTGGCTTTTATCATCATCATCATCATCGTCATCATCAATCATCGTTGATTAGAGAAGACTTTGTAAAAACTTGTTGATGTTTTGCAGCTCCTAGATGTGCACAGCATCGCCAACTGACTGCCGGTCTTTTGAGGACATGTTATGTCAAACTGACTTTGTCAAAGGATTATGCCTCTGGAATGTCCGCCTACTCCTACAACCGACACCAGATACGGGGGGTGGAGGGGGGGACGTGCCGTGCCAGAGGAGAGTGATGCAAACGTATGTATGTAGGCTAGTGTGTGGGACGACAGTCAAGAGAAAAAGATAAAGAACGTCTGCTCTGTTTACACAGCGATGATATGGCTACATAGCGCCAATTCGGCCTTGGGTTTAGACGACGATGGAGTGTTGGGTCGGAGGTTTGAAAACTCTGGCCCTTGGACCTCTAGAGAAGAACCAGAGAAGCTAATTTGGGTATTTGGCGTGCTACAGCTAGCCATCTCCGTCTTCTCTTTACAAACTTTATGCGCATGCTGCGTGGCGTATTTCCTGGCTTTCTGAATCTCCGCTACAAATTCATTCATTCTGGTGTCAGTAAGTTAGGGCGTGGTTGACACAGCGCCACATACAGGCCAAAAATATGTACTACGGGACTCCGTTATTTCAGCCTGATCCTTGTAAACATTCCGTATGCGGAAGGCAACCGTAGTCGTATCGTATCGCAGTTTACACGGCTGCGGATTTAGAGATTAGAAACTGGGGATATTGGTAAAATGAGGAAGTACAGGAAACTTTCTAGGAAAGTAGGCTGCAAAGAGAAAAGTAGAATTGTCAGGGTGATGAAGGAAGTAGTCAAGAATACCATCAGGCTGGGTGCATTTATCAGAGGTGTGTAAGAGGCCACACAGGATATGTACTGGCTGGCAGAACAGAGAGACAAATCTGGAAAAATGTACAGCGTGTCTGGTTGATTAAGGATTAAGGGGTGATCGCGTCTGAACAGAGTGTGCTTTGGAGGCACACAGAAATATTTCTCATACTCATGCGAATGCCAATATACGTAGACGTTTCCCGCGAGCGTGTCCGTTTGTGTGTGAGTCGACAAAAATAAATAAATAAATAAAGCTGAAAAATAACCGCTACCGTTACCTCATGCCTTATTCTGCACATTTTGTCACACGGTAACGGTCTGGCTGTAGAGTTGTGTTCACGGTAGTTACCCTTCTTGATTTGCACTCATAAAAAAATCATAAAATGTATATTTAAATTTTCATAGTTTTTGTGGTTTTTTTTTTTAATTTTCGACCTACCTGCCATACTAAAGGCTCCAACTGTGGGATGGTCTTGGCCAGGCAGACGCTGAGAGTGACGGTGTGTGACAGGCAGGTGATGGCGCTGGTGATTATGGCCCCTCTCATGGTGAAAGGCAGCATGGTGTAGACCACAAATACGATGAACAAGAAGAACGCCACCTTAAAAAAAAAAAAAAAAATAAAAAAACGTACAGAGAAAGATTTTTTTAAGTTCTTTTCTGAGATTTTTCAAACGTACAGAGAAACATTTTTAAAAGTTCTTTTCAGATACCTTGAATTTCTTATTTATAATTTTTATATCTTAATGACTTTGTGAGATTTGTGTTTGTATTGAGTGGGTGGCACTTCCTGCTAATCCTTCCGTAATAATCCCAACAGTCAGACATGAAAGCTAAAAGCTAAAACAAAGTTATCTTGGTTATGAATGGACAGAAATGTGTTCCCTGTACGACTACCAAAGTCTTTTAGGTCTCGGTCAGTCCGTGTCTGTCCACTTCCCCAACTATCTGCCCACTCCTTCCTGTTTGGTGGCCGTGGTGGCAATCAGAAGGAAAGGGATGCTAAATGCCCTGGGATGTTGGATGAACTCTGACTTTCCTGCCTGTCTGTTTACTTCCTGAGTCCGTCAGGTTCAGAGAAGTTGTCTGCAGACAGAAATAGACATCATTTGACGGCTAAAATCCAATAGCCATACATTTGAAAAACATGTCAACAAACTACTTGAAGGGAAGATTTGGAATGAACACACCTGAGTGGACAGGCAGAGAGGTAGCAGTCAAGGCACCTACTTTTGTTGCTAGGGGAAACTACTGCTAAATTGGGAAGAAAATGCTGACGTTGCTGAACACGGCAGGCGTCACACGTACCAGAGGGCAGCGGCAAACCACATCCTCCTCAGAATCCATATGGAGTTTTTTTTTTGTTTAAAGAGTTGCTATAACCTCAGAGTGGATTTTTCACCTCTTGCTTGCATTGAAGACATAAACCCTCATCTCACTTTTGTTTACCTTCCTACTCCTTCCCTTATTCTATTCTACCAGCCTTTTTTTATGCCTTCAGTATAATTAGCTCTCGGCGCCGCATCAGACAGACTCTCAGTAATCACTTCAGCGCACTAAAAACAGACTCCACTTCCAACGGTTTTTCTTTCCGTTGGATTTCTGCCGTCAGAAGGAAAACAAAACAAAACTGAAAGGTAATTGGACGGAATGACGAAATGGAAAGCTAGATGATCAGAAACAAAAAGTCAGACAGAGAGACAGACAGAAGTGACGGAGACACGGGCGCAGAACTGTAATGTAGAATGATGGTGCTCTCACAGGTGGCTGGGGATAAAAATATCTCCGTCCCAGAGGAGGCAGAAAATTGGTAGGGGTGGAAATTTGGGGGAGAGTGTGGAGGTAGGAGGTCTTACAGTGGAGTAGGAGAAGGCAGGTGGTGAGAAAAATGGGATTTGATGAATAGGAGGAGACAGGGTGAGAAAATGGGATTCAGAGGGAGAGAGGGAGGGAGAGGGAGAGTGTGAGAGAGAGAGAGAGATTAGGAGTTTGGCAGTGAAACTAATGCGTCTGTCTGCTGATCTGCTCATCCTCCAGCCTCATCAGCCCTCATTAACACCTGTCACATGTGGAATGAATTCACATGCCCCTTTTTAGACACACACAATCATGTAACTCGCGCGCGAGTGTCGTGTTCGTCGTGTCGTGTTCGGTAATTCGTTAAAACTCCAGCTAGCTGCGTCAATGATGCAAAAAGTTGAATTAACCTTTATTATTTTAACATTAGTGTTATTGATGGGAACCTTTGTTCTTTAACGCGGAACTATTTGTTCCGTTTCAGCTTGAAGTAGTCTCCGGTAGGTTAATGAGCGGAAAATAAAACCAGCTGTTAGCATTTTTCTACTTGGTGTCATCGCTGCAGTTTGGATCGAGCTCACACACACACACAGACACACACACATACACAGAGCCACCTCAACCTTTTTCCTCCGGTATAACGCTGCCTCCTAGTTCATCACATAGTCATCACAACCGAGTATTGGTGTCAGGAAGTACACAAATTAAAATACTCAAATTTGTAACTTGGGTAATAAATAATGGCAAAAACCGCAGACGTGCGTTTAAAAATATTTTACTCCGCTTGAGTTATTTACTCTGACAGTTCTCCCCAGAAGGCTGTCAGAAACACATGGATGTCCTCTCATAATGGAGTCCCTGGCTCCACTACAGTATACACTACACTACACTATTATGCTGGGGGATGGAAAATACTCTGAGCTAACTGATAAGTACTATCAGGATCTTAGTCAGAGAGAGTTTCTGACACGGTATTTACACAGATCTACGTTAGAATGTCAGTCAGATAAAAACGTAAAACTCTGTTATCTTTGTGAGAACTGCTCTCAGCAGCCACATGTATTCGCTCTGTTTACCTTCAGCCTCAGGTTTATGCAACAGCTGTGGCGGGAAACTGTACTGTGCAGTACTACTGTTTAAACACAACGCTGAAATAAAATAAGCACACGCTACATTATATACAGATGTTGAAGCCAGTAAAACAGCGCCCTGAATGTTACGTGGTGAAACATGGTACTGCACTGTGTTGTCTGTGAGGAGGCCACCACACTTTAATAAACTAAAAATGTCTGTATTACGTATAAACATACACTTTCTGCCCATTTTATTAGGTAAGGTTCGGGTTACGGGTTTGATCCCCTTTTTGCCTTCATTCTCTTTGCTACAAAGTCATTAAGATTCTCAAAATATTGCGCAAAGATTTTGGACTGACTCAGAGTAAAAACATCCCGCTGTTGTGGTAAATTTTGCAGAACGAAAATGCATTCCTTTTAACACGCATACAAGTTGTAGCCTGCGTTTCCTGTTCTAAGCTGACAGGTGTGTCCGACAGTGTGCTGCGTTATTGGTGGACTA